CCCGCGCACCATTCTGCCGCATGCTTCGAGCTAGCCCGATCTGAGATGGCCCCGGGGCCCTCCTCCTCCTCCTCCTCCTTTTCCTCCTCTTCTTCCTCCTCATACCTCCCCCCCGATCTGGGCGAAAACGCCAAGTGCAAACAAAAGAATTGCGACGCACCAAATCCCAGGGGTCCACGTCGGGAGCGCTCCGGCAGTTTTTCTTTGTGGGGGGGGAGGCCCCGAAGCCTCTCAGACCCCCTGGAGCTGGGGGATGTGGTGGGGTTCGCAAGAGTGACCCTGAGTGACCTTTGGTGCGCGGCTTTTTGGGGGCCGCGGGGAGCCATCTGTGCCCGCACCAAAGGTCACTCCGGCGAAAGGTCACTCTTACGTATACAGTCGGGGCGTTGACCTAAGGAACCCTAAATAAGGAACGACGCCCGTTTTTTCCATAAAATAAACTTCGGTTTCCGATGGAAAACATGAGGACAACCTGAGGCAAGCTGTGAAACACTTAAGGAACGCGGAACCCCTCCCCAACGAAAAGGGTTCCTTTTTCAGGGCCCCGACTGTAGTCGAGTGGGGCTTGCAAGAGAGGGGGGGAGGCGGAGCCTCTGCACGAGGGGGGGGGCGGCGCTGGCACGAGGAGCCCAGACCCACTCGAGTCGTAAAACAACCACGACGGGCGGCGTTTCACTGGGGGCCCTTTTTGTACCAATTATTTTCGGCGGGGGGCGTGTCACTAATTATTTCCACGGGGGGCGTTTCAATGGGGGCACTTTTTTCACTGGCGTTTCACTCATTACTTTCGGCCTCTGGGGGCCCTTTTTGTACTGGACCTCGGGGCTGTCAACTACGACTCGGGATGGAAAACCGGTCCTGGGGCATGGGCCCGGACCCTCGGGGGGTCGCGCCACGAAAAGATCATGACGTCGGGGATCTGGGAGGAGAGGAGGGGGATATTGATAGGAGGGAGAGGGTGTCCCTGAAATCTTCCGATCTTTCTTCAATCCGCGGCCTCAGAGGTCCCGACCCCTTCCCGAGGGGTAGTTTTGCGCCTGGGATTCATTCTTCATGTCCCGGGTCCAATACAACGAACCCCACCGAAATCGACGACATTCGCCTGGATTGGAAAAATCCTGTCGTCGGAGACCTGGGGTTCCAGGAAAACAAGAATCCGACTCAGGAGGTGCGGAATCGGGGGCCTCCTGACCCGCGGAAATCGATGAGCCTCCCTCCTGAACAGGTAGTGGGGGCCCCAGGTGCCATCATTGTGTCTTCGAGCCTCGAGATCTATGTCCTCGGGGGTCACGTTGAAGTTCCCTCCTATGATGGAAGGGAGCTCGAGCTGATTCAGGAAGACGATAAATCCTCTAACCACCTTGGTACTGAGAGAATTGTAGCCTACCCCCGACTGCAACTAGACCGAGATAACTACTAGGTTGCGCTTGTTCAGACGCACGATGCAAGCCGTCCAGTTGGTTCCCCCCGCCAAAGGTGCGGCTAGCCCCTTCCCATTCATGATGCGCGCATGGGAGCGAAAGTGCTTCGCAGCGAAGAGCTCAGTGCCTTTAGCGTTACCACCTGCTGCGCTGGAGGCCGCTGGACACGGATTACTCTTGCAGCCAAGCTTCCCCGCGTACTTCCTCGCCTCCCCCAACCGTCCAGAAACCAAGTGCGTTCCCCCGGGCATGACGACCCCTGGGTGGCCAGAACTTGAGCTTTGAAACTAGTCCTTGGCATGCCGATTCCAGTTCGTGACGTTGACGTGGTGGGTTGCGAAACTGCCATGCGCTCCTAGGGGGAAGGGGGGGGGGGGCGGTTGTGCCTCTTGCTTGGGCAGTCAGCACTCGTGCCCGACCCCCCCCCCCCCGAGCCCCCACTGCGGCCTCGGGCCAGTTGCGGCCGCGGGGCTTCTCGCTGCCCCGATGTGGCCGCCTCCGCTGCACGTCCACGGCCTGTTGCCCCTGCTAAGGCACAGCCGAGACACGACACACACTCCACATGCAACAAATACTACGACTACCAGGCGCTAGCAACGGCCGTACATCACCCGCGTCTGCTGGGCGGTGGGGGCTGCGCCCAGCGAGAGCAGGTCGATGTCCGCTGCTGCGAGGGCGACCGCGCGCTCCAGGGCAGCCCTCCAGCGCTGGTCCCGCAGGGATGCTGCTCCTGCTCCTGACTCCGGGGCTGGAGGGGAGTGGGCCGCTGGCCCTGGGCTTGGCCTTCGGCTGTGGGGCCCTCGGGCTTCTCCACGTCGACGCAGAACTGTTTGGCGTTGGCGCCGCCCGCCCATTCCATGGACGAGGTGAAGTCCATGAGCCCATCTGGGACATGTGGGATCTGGATACCCATCTTGCCATCACCTTCAGCGACGCGAGATTCGTCCATGTGTTCTGGCTGGGATCCTGCTCGACCCCAACCACGGGTTGCCTCGATGCTGGCCTCCTCGAGTGCGGCCCGCGCCTGGACGAGCTCGTCGGCGGTGGACTGGAGATCGAGCTTGGCGGCGTCAAACTTGGCCTCGAGCTCGTTTAGGGTATTCTTGAGCGCCTCCTGTTTCTTCTCGGGGCGGCGATTTTCCTGCATAAATGCGGTGGTTGCTGCTGCTGGTGGCTTCTTGGGCGCCGCGACGAGGCCCTGGATCTTGGAGCACGCTGCGATACCGATGTCGGCCTCCTGCTCGGTGGTGAGCTTCGCGAGGAGGGTGAGGATCTCTCTCTCTCTCTCTCTCTCTCTCTCTCTCTCTCATATCCGAGGGCTACTCCTGCTGCTCCTTCTGGTTGCCGTAGCTGTTGCCATGGCTGCCGTTGCCGCCGTGGGTGTTTTGGCCCTTCTTCGTGAGGAGGTGGAACGGTTCGCAGAAAACACCACTCGCCACAAGCGGAACAGACACATTACTCGCGGGTGCGCTTCTGCTGGTAGGACTGCTGGTAGGCCCACGATGTGTTTCCTCCCATGGCTGCTGAAGTCGATTCAGGTGATCGATGGGAGCTGAAAGCCAGTGCTGGCAAGAGGGAACTCGAGCCCGTGCTGCGGGCTCTCAACCCCCTTCAAGCCCGAACGGGTTCTGAAAGAGCCTTGAACCAGAATGGCTACGGACCTCCCTTGCTCCTCCTCCTCCTCCTCCTCCTCCTCCTCCTCCTCCTCCTCCTCCTCCTCCCTCCTCCCTCCTCCCTCCCTCCTTCCTCCCCCTCCTCCTCCTCGTCCCTCCTCCTCCTCCCTCCTCCCTCCTCCCTCCTCCCCCCTCCGCCCTCCTCCCCTCCCCCCTCCCGCCCCTCCTCCCTCCTCCCCCCTCCTCTCCTCCCCCCTCCTCCTCCTCCCTCCTCCCTCCTCCCTCCTCCTCCTCCCTCCTCCGTCCTCCCTCCCTCCCTCCTCCCTCCTCCCTCCTCCCCTCCCCCCTCCCCCCCTCCCCCCGTCCCTCGTCCCCTCGTCCTCGTCCTCGTCCCTCCTCCCTCCCCTCCTCCTCCTCCCGCCTCCCTCCTCCTCCTCCCCTCCCCGCCTCCCTCCTCCCTCCTCCCGCCTCCTGCCTCCCTCCTCCCTCCTCCCTCCTTCCTCCTCCCCTCCCTCCTTCTCCTCCTCGCCCCGAAGAGTCCAGGAGACGAGCCCCCCGCCCGCGCGCCCCGCGCGCCGCGCCCCCGCAACCCCGGGGGGGGGGTCGCCTTGGCGGCGATCGCCTCCGGGGCCTGCCCGGCATTCCAGCGGCCGCCTCTCCGCCTCCTGCCGCCCGTGGCCGCCGACGGGCCGCCCGAAGGGCCGCCCACGGGCCGCCTCGAGCCCGAGCCCGAGCCCGAGCTCGGGCCCGAGCTCGAGCGCGAGCACGAGCCCGAGCTCGAGGCCGAGCCCGAGGCCGAGCGCGAGCACGAGCCCGAGCTCGAGGCCGAGGCCGAGGCCGAGCGCGAGCGCGAGCGCTGGCCCGAGCGCGGGCCCGAGCCGGGCGCTGGCGCGGGCTCGAGCCCGAAGGGCCGTCGAAGGGCCGCCGAAGTGCCGCCGAGGGCCGCCGAAGGCTGCCGCCCCCAAGGGCCGTCGGAAGGCCGCCGACGGACCTCTGAAGGCCCGCCGAAGGCCTCGAGATGCGGGGCGGTCGAAGCATCGCCGCAGGGCCGCCGAAGGGCCGCCGCTGGCTGCCGCACCGAAGGCCCGTCGAATGGTCGCCGAAGGGCCGTCGACGGGCCGCCGAGGGCCCTGCGCGTCCGAGCGGCCGTGTGGATCCCTCGCATCGTCGCTGCCCCCCCCCCCCCCAGACGGCGCCCGCGGCGCCGCCGCTCGCCGCCTTCCGCGCGCGCCGGGGAGGGGGGGGGGGCCCGGCAGCTCTGAGAGATCCCCGCAGACCTCCGAGAGGAATTTCTGGTTGGCGTTGGCAAGATGGCGTGCAACGTCGATCTCCGCAAAGCATGCCAATGCCAGTCTAAGAATTATCGCTCGATCTATATATATATACACACACACACCTGAACACCTTTGGGGGCAAGAATACTCAGAGTGAGGGTGCCTGAACGGTGTTGCTTCATCACTGGGCGTGCGTCGCCGTCGTGGGCCTGCTTCTGCTCGACGGGGGTTCCGGGGCCGGGGGGTCCCAGGCGAAAGCTCCCTGCGCCGCCGCACCCCCCATCTTGTCCCCACAAGTGCGGAGTGTTCCATTCATGCCTGAGCGGCCCAATATCGTTGGAGCCGCGTCTCTCGACATGACGGGAATCATAGCAGCGTGCAACAACTGCAAAGCTGCTTGGGGCCACAGTACCTACAGTAAATAGACTACTGCTGCTCGTCGGATCTGAATGGCGAATCTAACCGGGAATGTTTCGGGTCCAACGTCATGTTCTGAACCTCGTTGCGTCCGTAACCTCC